GGTATCAATAAATATCTATACAATCTATATTGTCTGTCGACCGTATTCGCGATAAAAACTATACATTATTAAATGCCGGACAATTGACAGGTAGGGCGTTGGTATGGCACTTAGTTTAGGAGAACCTTTGAACACGAATAAATATAAAAGGAAAATTGTGTGTCGTTCCTTGAGCAAGGATCAAGTAAGAAAATCAGGTACTTTTTGCAATTTTGTTTACAAGTTTTATTTACATTTTTATCCAAAATTATATATAGATGTATATTATCGGATTTTATATTACAATTCACGATTATACATACGTAGTTACTACATTTTTGTTAGCTGAACGTCTAGTGCCATCCACATCTTTTAAAACAAAGGCATTAATTCTTTTATTTTTTCTGTCAGATAATAGTGATATTCAATTTAGCCTAGACGAGGATCATCTCGAGAACAATGTTACATCCGACAATGCAACACGCACCTGTATAGGAAATCCCGCCACTTTAAGTGGTACCCCTATACAAAAGCAAAGACCACGCTTACCTTTGTGTTTAACATCATTCACTACTCATAGACGTAAACATGTAAAAACCTTTTCTTAAAAGAAAAAAAAAATAATATAATTTAATATTTGCACTTGTTACAGTATCTTGATATTTTCAAGTTTTCAACACGTATAATATTTTTAAATTTATAATGCTTAGCGTTAAAAAATGCAAGAATTTTTCTTTATATTTTAATTCATTACAGGTGCCTTTGAAAAGAAGATACGGGGTAGATATAACGCCTTATCTTATCTACCATGTGGAAGGATAGAGAGATATCAAGGCAATCTATATGTCTTTTTCATTCGCGAAAGTACACCGATACGAGAGGTGAGTGAGTTCATAATGACGATTATTCTCAACTGACTGTTAGAAATTCAACTATTAACATCCTGATGATGATGATGTTTTACAGAATGGTGGATTGAGTGGTTTCACCCACAGTTTCACAATGGAAGTTTTGGCAATTGTTCGCGCGCACATTGCGGCATTAAGCGGTAACGCTACGGTAGCGTTCTTTATGACGCAGTGTGTGCTTCTTCACAGCTCTCACAAAAATCAAGTTAGTAAAAAAACATCATTTTACCTGCATACCCATTCCCACGCTTGTTGCATATTTCACAAAAAAATATATGTTTCCAGGGTCAATGTCTCATTAATATGAATGGCGATGTCGTAACAGTATCTTATTATGCGGATGAGAAGCACAGTGCTGTTTCAAATTGCTGACCCCAACCTCCACATTCGGCACCGCCATGAACGACTATTTAATAATGGCAATTAATGCTGTTAAAAAATATATATATATGTGTATATATTTACCAATATCAATGCTGATAGATAGGATCGTGTATAGCGGTTCTGTGAGACTTTCATTGCATTGTGCAATACCTAATCTCAAGTATCTCTTCGTAGCAATCAACATTGTTATTTATTAATTTATTTTACAAAGATAAAGATGTGATACTTAATTTAAAATATTATTTTCTTTATGAATTAATATACTATAACGTAATAAAACGTGACAAAGGGATATCAGTTTGTTGTTATAGATTTAAAATATCGTGTATATTTAACATCTACTGTGTGACTAAATATAATTTTATCTATATATATATATATATATATATATATATATATATTATATATATTCTTTTTTTATTGAGGGATATCTCTTGCTCTATAAAATAGCCCTACTGTGGGCATAGTGATGTTACCACCAATTCTCCGTTGTATAATAATTTCAATTTTTTATAAAAATATAGAAATACTCAATTATATCAAAGTACTCCGTTAGTGATAGTCACAATCGGAAAAACAATGGTTCTACACATAAAGAGCTGAAACTAATTGTAACTATGTAGAATTAACAGAAATATATAAATTAATTTTTCTTTGCCGATTACGCTACAAATGATAAACTACTTAAATAAAATATATTATTACATAAATAAAATATTTATCTGTAGAGTGTACATTTCTCTTTCGAAAGCTTCTCTAAAAGCATTAAAGAAAATATATAATTACATTTAACTATTTAAAGAATGACGTGTAGAATTATGTTAAAAGCTGCAGGATATTAAACGAAGCAATTTATTTCTTTCGGAAATTAATATTATTTCCGAAATAAGTTTTTGTAACTAGGTGCCTTTAAAACTATAAGAATATATAGGATATGTTCTGCATGACGCAGGATATAGCTAATAGACTTATTAGCGTAATCGCGGTTCTCATTTGGTTTTTCGAAGTTTATGAAATTAATAAAAAAGCAAGATTGTTGTTTTAAAGAATTAAATATGAAACATCCTTTGATCACCTATACCTTTGTTTGTGTTGATACTTGAAAAAAGTATTAATAAGAAAAGTGAACGGTTTATAAGAAATTATTTAAAGACAAATATTATAATTAAGTTTGATAGCAAACGGAGTGACCAATGATAAAAGGACAACGTTTGTTCGGCGTTTTCAATTTTTTCAATTATTGGTCACATTTAATCCTGTAAAAACATGTATCGCTAATAAACATTTTTTCAGCGTAATTTACGGAAAAATGATAATTTAAGAATAATATAATTATGAAAAAATTGCTTGAACGTGTATTAAAGATTAAGTCATACAGAATGAATGTTATTAATTGCAATTGTACTTTTTTAAGGATCCAACATATTCTTTATGTAATCGGGCCGCGAGGCTGACTGCGACGTGCCTACTGTCAGTCTCATGGTACGGATTCGATCCACATGGGGTTGTCGATCACGCCGTCCCGCGTGGTCGATCACGCGTCGATCCCGCCCCACGTACAGGTGCGCGCATGCCGGAATTGTCGAGAATCGGAGCACGGCGCAACTCATCCTGACACGCGCAGTGTCTTTGTTCGCGAAAATTGTGCCCACAGCGCAACTCCGTCAATCGTCGAATGATCAATCAGAGAGCGCCGCGTTCCATATCTCGCCTTCGTTTTCGGCCCTCGAGAACCTTCCTGGTAGAAAAGAACGATCGCGGCACACTTGTTTTGCACGTATCAGAAGCAAGTTCTCTCGGCTTAACGCAACATTCTCAACCGATTTGTGCGCGACATCGCCGCCCAATCATCCAAGTGTGGCAGTGTCCAGAGAGACAGTATTCTCCACGAGTGATTATCGAGCTTATCCAAGAAGCTCGCACGGAATCTCTGTTATCGAATCGCGTTCGCGCTCGGAGTCTGCCTCGCGAGCAAGAATTCCTCGACCGCAAGATTTCAGTCGTAAGGGCATCAAATCGATGCTTGGCAAGATCTCCGTCTCGCGTTTGCGGCAGAGTATTGACGCCTCAAGATTTCCGAGCGATTCGAACCACGACAGTATCCGTCAAGTGTGACAAGAGGTCCCGGTGCAAGTTAATCGCGGTAAAATAAGTCGTTCTCTCATCCGCAGCCTTCCCCTCGTTTCGCAATCTTTCTGTGGTACCGGCATAAATCGCGCTCCGCTGAATCCGGTCGAGCACGAAACATACTTGAATAAATCATGCGTTCGTCGTTCGAATAACATATAAGCAATCATGTCGAATTGTGATAAAATGTTTATTTCATAACTTTCATTATTTATCAATTATTTATTTCATAAATTTTAGAAACTTACGCTAGAACGTTCAGTAAAATAATGAGTATTTTTCGTTAAAATTGACGCTTTCCAATTTACGGCGAATGCGATCGCACGCGTTTGCATAGCTTTCGTTGTCATTGTTACAAACATTTGTACTGAAATATCATTTTATATAATATATTTTTATTGCAAGACATTATAATAACGTTTGAAGATATTACAACAAAATGAGACGCGAATGAAAATATGATAATCCGAGTCAGGGTGATCCAGCACGGTAATCGTTCTCGAATAAACCTCTGGTCAACCAGGACAAATGGAGAATATTGTCACATTGCCACGAATGATCCTATTTGCTCCATTTCGCCACACTAACATGATGAGAATTTTATTTCGATTTAAAGAACATTCTTTCGATAAAATATTGTAGAATAATTTTTGTCTCAATCTCCTCGTGTTGCGTTATTCTTTGATATTGGAATGATAGTCGTTGGTTATTTCAAAAATTAATACTCAAACTTTAATCATTTATAAATCGCAAACATAAAATTTAAAATTTTTTTCAAGGGCGTACTTATCATCTCTGTGGCCTTAAAATAATACCTAACTTTGGCAATTTATTTAAGGAAAATAATTTACTCAATCGAAAAACTCCTTCCAAAAGAATGACCTCAAAGAAATGGTCGGTAGAAGAGGTAGAACATTTAATTTTGGCTGTCCAACATAGAAGGGCTCTGTGGGACATTAGTCAACCGGTGGACCAGAGATCCAAGGAAACCCGGAAACGACTCTGGGAAGAAGTTACTGATGAATTGAATGGTAAATAAATAAATATATAATACAGTTGTATTAGTTGGATATGATAAAATCTGATTTTTCTAGGTGTAGTCGACGCAATTGCTGTAAAGCAGAAATTTAAATCATTACGCGATACATATCGCAAAATTGTCCAGTCAGAGCAGTACCTTCCGAGTGGATCTGGGAGGAATGAAAATGAGGACCGTCACAAGTGGAAGCACTACGACAGAATGGAGTTTCTTCGTGATACCAGTCTATCGAAGGAGTAAGTAATTGATTTTTGTTATTATTATAAAGTAATATGTTTTTGGCACAACACAATGGTGGACATCAGTCTCAAGATCAAGTACAAATTACAAATTCTGTTTGGCATGGACAACATTAGCTCTGGTAGTATAATGGTTCTGTTATTATTATTGCTATTATTTGAAAATTATTTAATAATAATAATAATCCAACTATTTTTATTTTTAATTTTTTTATTTATTATTATTATTATTAAATTATTTTCCAACAATAGCAATAATAATAACAAACATTATACTATCCCAGTTACTGCATATGTTGTCCATGTCAAACAGATTTTGCACTTGATCTTGAGGCTACTCGACCAAATTTCTAAAACTGCTCATTCTTTGTGCCAGGAACATTATTAGACAGCGATAAAATTACTGTAATTCCACAATTTGTTTCTGTAATTTCTATTTTGTTCATTTATTGTAGCACGTCTAGTAATAATATTTCTATCACAGCGAACGAGCTATTAAATAAATCGGTGGACCAGTCAACTTCTCAAGTACAAAATCCGATTGACATAGATCCAAATGACAGTAGTAGCACAGAAAGCGAGACAGAAAGTATGATCATTGTTTTATTATTATTATTTTTTATATCAGCTGTAGGTATATGAAAATTTGTTTGCAGCGCCAACTTTATCAAGTACTTTTACGAGTGGAAAAAGCCGAAGACTCAATACCAATTTTACTATTGATAGCGATATATCAGTTGCTTCTATGCATTTGTTGGATAAACTAATCCAAATTTTTGAGAGACGGGAAAAGGCGCAAAATGTTGCACCACCAAATATAAATGGTCCATTCGATGAGGTGGATCATACGCTACAAACAGCAGCATTACATTTGCGCAAAATGTCGCCTCAACTACAAATGCGAACTTTACAGGATATTGTCCAAATGACCTTCTCCAGACTACAAGAAGAAACGAATAATAATTAAATTTCTTTCAGCTAGATGTTTTAGAAGATTCCGACAACACATTTTATATTTTTTTTATACAAGCATAATGAGCTTTAAATCTTAACAAAATAAATAATGATTGTTTAAATTTTTTCAGATCTTTTTATTTTTTTCTTCAAAATATGAATGTAGTTGCGTATATTATGACGGTACACGTGTAATACTTTATATTTAAAGCAGTCTAATGATAATTTTATTAATATACTACAAATAAGTATCATTGTAGTCTCTCTCTATTTATGATTAATTAAATGACTTAATGCTTTCTTGCTTTTTATATATACAATTTTGATTGAATTAAAATGTCAAAAAAGTCAAGCATAATTGTCTCATTAAGTTACAAAAAAATTTTCAAAGTCCTTTTTTTAAGGAAGTATAGCCAGTACAGCCATATTCAAATAATAAAGCAAAATTTAACAATGTTTGAACAATTCTTTGGTATGTCTTAAGTATATCAACTATAAACTTGCGAAGTTATTTTAGACGTACAATGATAGAAAAGACATACAATTTAGACATACAATAATAAAAAAAATATCAAATATAATATTTACTTATTCAGATTATTACCATTTCCAAACGTCATAGATTTTTATCAGTATTTTTCATTATTTTCCATAAATATTAATTAACCAAATTTTTAATTTTATCACTTTATTTTTTCCTTGAGAAATTCTCAAATAAAGTTATACGATTATTTGGCTTAGGCTGTACGGTCGAAACATCCTTAGAACAAATTATTTTTTTTAAATTAATTAATTTTATGCAAATCCATGATGATAATTTTAATTACTGCTATTGAAGATACTGCTAAGGTATAGCACCCTCGCCGTTAAAATAATAGCAAAATTTATTCCTGATGTTCATGGCATCTCGAGAAGAATTGTTAGTGCCACAATTACGAAGATCTCTCAAGGCATGACTGCTATCCATTTCCTTCCTCCAATTTCCAGGAATAAAACCACTAAGTTCATCGTGATCAATCATGGCCGCAGAAATATATTCGTTTTTGTCTAAATCCTGTTTTCGAAGCCAATTATGAATGCAAATAATGGCCTGGACAATTTGCATTGTGCTTTTTACAGTAGCGTCAATAGGCTTTTTCAATATTCTCCATTGACTCACAAGAATTCCAAAAGAATTCTCGATTGTTCTACGAGCACGACTGAGGCGATAATTATAGATAATTTTTTCGTGATTAAGTCCTTCTTTTCCTGGATATGGTCTTAGCAAAAAATTAGTTAACTGGAATGCTTCATTGGCAACAAGAACATATGCATGGCATGGGATCACCATTGACCGTGAGTTTCTTAAGTTCTGGCAGTCCCATTTCTCTATTATAAAATTTCTGATCCACAATAGAATCTCGGAAAATTCCACCATCACTACGTCTGCCATAAGCTCCGATGTCCACGAATGCAAACATGTAGTTGGCATCACATATCTCGAGCAGTACAATGCTATGATAGTTCTTGTAGTTGCAATATAAAGAGCCAGCGTTATGGGGACACTAAAACAAATGGAATTATATAGCTAGCTCGCCAGTTGCCATAATTAGATAATGTCAAATAAAAGAAATACCTGAATAGCAATGTGTTTTCCGTCAATACCACCAATGCAATGATTAAAATTCCAGCAATCTTCGAAATCTTGTGCGATATTGAGTCAATCCTCCTTACTTAATAGAAAAGAAAGCACTTTTTTAGCAAGGCAATACCACAATACCGCACATGTTTCGGCAATAATGTTTGACACTATCGTAGCTCCAACAAGATACTGGTATGACATGGAGTTTATTGAATAATCACCAATAGCCAAGTATCTGAAAAAAGATCTATATGTAATATTATTCTTATGGAAAGAACATGTTCGACTTAACACATCCAGCTTACCATAATGACTTAATAGATTATCGTGCTGCAGCAGGTATGGGATCTCGAGTCATAGTCTGTTTTGTGATATGAGGTGCAACCAAATGCAGCAGGTCCTCAAATTGCGATAATGACATCCGCATATAGTTTTGAAACTTAGGTTTATATCTCGACAGAGTTGGATATATTGCATGGTAAAACCCATACTTTCTCAATCTAAATATAGAATGTACCCAAAAACGCTTTTTTTGTAGATCCGTTTCTTTTTCTCCTCTGAATTCATCCGCAATATTTCATGCACAATGACAACTAGTAGTATGTCATTCAGGAGTTGTTCTTCTTGAGCATTATTCACCTGCCTCGCACGTTCTGTCACCCATGTAACGATATTTCTGCATGAAGGCCATTATGTTCTAGTTTGATATAAATTTTAATTTAATCACTACACAATTCACATTATCACAATTATCAATTAACTGGAAGGAAGCCTGTCAAAACTCAGTAATCACCTTGTTGGACATATACATATAGGAACTGTTTTCGCGCAATTCCTTGGGCCTAACGCATCTTACCTACGGCATACCGAGTTCACTATACATCGCGGACATAAACACACAGTTACACGTACACTCATATACACAGTGTCATATAGCCCTAAGGTGGTGCTGAAGGCACTTAATTTCCCTCATCCGAAGGATCTAACTAAAAAAAAATATAGGAATTGTTATCGCAAGTCGCGGCGGTTTCATGACGCGCACGTTTTGCCGCTTACTTCTCCCTCCATTAGACGAGCGGCAAATTTAGTTACGTGACTATATATTTGCTGCTGGTTTCTAGCGTCCATAAAATTGCAGCTTTTTACTGTTCTTAATTTGATGATATAGTTCTATTGTCGGTACGAATTTGGAAATGTTAGAGATTCAATTCTACCGCCTTCCTTCATTATAACTATTATTCACTAGACGTTTCTTATTGGCTCAGATGGCGTCTCGGTAGAGCTATACGCGGTTCACATACACTCATTCATTGCTATTCGTTCGTTAAGTTAGGTCAGAGAGACGCCCGCCCTTTTATAATACATTACATACATTTTCTGTTCTCCACGCTATTGTGTGTCGTAAATAAAGAAGCACTATTGTACGTTCTGTGTCCGATCATTATCCAACAGGTTATGGGCCCAGGACACCCAGAATATTGAGACACTGCGAATTATTGTAAAATACGAACGTACTTGGATTGCAAATTTCGGATAGCGAACCTAACCTCGAGACGGTGCGTACATACATATAGAAAGACATGTCACACAACTTTATTAATTCTACTCGCCTGGAGTTGCTTTCCAGAGATAATTACGACACGTGGAGAATTCAGGCGGAGGCTTTGCTAGTAAAGAACGATACATGGGGATACGTCTCAGGAGAAAAACCGAAACCAGTGGTTTCAACGGACCCGGCTACACGAACGGCTTCGCAAGCAGCACACGATTCATGGATTATCGAAGATCGTAAGGCCAAATCAGATCTCATCCTGTCGATTAATCCATCGGAGCTCAAGCAAATACGTGGTTGCGAGACATCTAAAGACGTCTGGGATAAATTAGAATCTATCTACGCATCCAAGGGACCCGCACGTAAGGCAACCCTTCTAAAACGTCTCATGTTACACAAAATGCCAGAGAATGGCGACGTAAAAGATCATCTAAACGATCTTCTTGACGCAGTCGATAAGTTACAAGCGATGAACGTTGAAATAAATGGTGACATGCTCGCAATTATTATATTATATAGCCTCCCTAACAGCTTCGACACATTCAGATGTGCAATAGAGTCACGCGATGATTTGCCCGATGCCGAGACATTAAAAATCAAGATAATCGAGGAAAGCGAAGCACGAAAACAAAAATCGCTCGACGATGGATCTGGTGCCTTGTTTGTAAAGCATCAGGGTAAGCAACAACCTAGCGTCTCTAAAAATAAGCCGGTGAATAGCAATGCCAATAAAAATACATCATCGCTCACACATGCACGGATAAGATGCAATTATTGCAAGAAACTCGGACATAAGGCTGCGAATTGCTTCTCGAAGAAGACCAACACAGATCAAAAATCAAGCCAAGCGACCGAGACAACGCTTTTAGTAAATAATGATAAAGTATCAACGAAATGGTGTCTGGACAGCGGCTGCACTTCGCACTTGTGCGGCGACAAGAAACTCTTCGAGAACACTACAAATATTTCTAGCGGACTAAAACTCGCAAACAACACTACTACTAAGATTGAAGCAATGGGAGACATCAAAATCACAGCCGCGGTTGTTAACGAGGAGATGAACATAAGATTGAAGGATACACTGTACGTTCCTGACTTGAGAACCAATCTTCTGTCTGTGGCCAAAATAGTCGACAACCAGCATCAAGTTCTCTTCACCAAGGATTGTGCCATCGTTCAGGATCTTCAAGGTAACGCAAAAATGATAGCCAAACGCGTAAACAATTTGTTTTATCTTCAGGAAGGTTCCACTACTGAAGCGTGCGTAGCAGCTAAGGATGAACGATCACAAATTACGACGTGGCACGAACGACTAGGGCACCTCAACGCAAATGACGTGAATCTGATGTGGAAATCTCAAGCGGTTAATGGCATAAAACTCAACGCTGGATCGTCGATGACTGATTGTAAAATATGCGCTGCAGGAAAATTGTCAAGTTCCCCATTTCCGGTTAGAGGTCAGAGAGCTTCAGGTGCACTCGACATTATACACACTGACGTATGTGGACCGATGCGAACGGAGTCACAGGGCGGTGCACGCTATTTTGTCACTTTTATAGACGACCATACCCGCTGGTGTGAGGTATACTTCATGCGAAACAAGGGAGAGGTCGCTGAAAAGTTCGAAGAATTTAAGAAGCTAGCCGAAAATCAAACTGGACGAAAAATCAAGGCAGTTCAATCAGATAACGGCAAGGAGTTTTGCAACTCTACTCTGGACAAATTGTTTAAGGAACACGGAATTCGTCGCCGACTGACAGTAGCTTACACACCTGAGCAAAATGGTGTTGCTGAACGAAGAAATCGAACTCTAGTAGAGGCAGCACGATGCATGATGATTCAATCAGGACTTTCACCTTCTTTTTGGGCCGAAGCGATCGCAACTGCAAATTATATT